CCCTCTCAGAACAATTTGGCTTGAAATGACCGGGCCGACCACAGTGGGAACAGGCTCGGTTGCCTGTCTGCAGGGCTGTGGCCAGGGCAGCCGCAAACGCCTCATTTTTATACGTGACTGACCCCACACGGTTACACGTCTCAGTCATCTCTACCAGAGAAGGGTTTCGCAGAGCCCGCAACAACCTTTTACAATCCTTATTAGCATTCTCTAACGCCAATTTCATCAGTACAGCCTCCTTCGCCTCCGAATTTTCTGTTTGTTGATAGCGTCCTGTAATCTGTCTACAAATTGCATGTACGGTTCACTGGACCCCTACTTGATGGTTGTAAATGATTTCTCTGCCTTGCCAGTATCGGGAACCTTGAATATAGCCTGCAGTGCTTAGTCTGGTGACTGCCGTAATATCTCTGGAGCGAGCTGTGCCTGCAGTTGTGGCGTCGCTACCGGAGCCTCCCCCATAAGTTGGGCAATTCCAGCAGCAAACAGTGGATCGCCTTGTTGTCGCCCAGCGGCATGTTCACACATCCCTCTCCGGTGCGATAACCACAGTACTCTCCAAGTTGGTGTGAATATTAAGTCTGTCGATGACTTGATATCAAAGGGAGTCAACAAATAACCCTTCAAAACAGACTGTAATAGACTTTGTGCAAACAGCGAAGTGAGACCATGCTGCATAATAGTCTTCCTTAACTCCTTAAGAAGGTCCCATTGCAGTGGTTGCCACTCATTAGGTCCCTGATTTGAAGATCGGGTTACTGCCTGATTGTGGTTCGCCTTCTGCGAACCCCGGAAGACCCCGGGGATGGTGAGACTGGAACTGGCTGGTCTAAGAGTGGAGCAGAGGGGGATGTCTGCGTCTGGGGTGCCGTTCTCTCTGAGCTACCCAGTTCCCCTGGGGAGTCAGCCGTCAGCGCCGTCGCTACAACAGCAGCTGCCCGAGCAGTACGGTCTGCCTTAAGTTGTTTCAGAGAGTCAGTAACTAGGCGCCAGGTTGTCAGGATCCTTACTGCGGTAGCATCGCCTTTGGTGGTGGCATCCCACAGAAGCCCCCCCGCCTTAGTCCATGTATCTATCAAAAATGCTGTCTGCGAATCCGCTGCCACAGCCTTGCTTTTAAGCCAGGTGAGCAGCAAACGGAGCGTGGGCTCTTCATAAGAAATCCCACGCTTCTCTAATAGATTCTTAAGTAAACGAACTATAGCCTGTTCCTCAGAGGACAGCTGTGATTCTGTTGTTACAGCCCCAGCCGCTCACCTTCTTTTCCAGGTGTTTTGTTGTCCAGACTGCAGCTCTCGGTTTACCCGCTGCCTGCTTCTTCTTCAGTTCGGCTGGGCTCTCCACTGGATGCTCTATTTTCTGCATTCAGTCCCTGTTCGGGCGCCATTTGTGGAGATGAAAGGCACGGACTCTGGCGGGGTGCTAGCCAAAGACCGTTGTTGTTTACAGAGTTGCCCTTATATACTACTTGCTATTGTTCACGCGCTATCAGAAGCACTCCGATAGGGCACTGCCTTAGTTGCACGCGGCTTTGTTCATAACTTGATTGGTGAGTTCCACTGTTCACGCGTCCTGCACGAGCCGGATGCCTTCCTTTTTTGGGTTGGCAGATGTCCCCTTAGTTGTTACTTTCTCAGTCAGGGGCACAGGGCCAGATCATCAAGGTCGAACTCGCTGAGGCCTTGCTCCATGACAAAGATTTAGTTAGAGTGAGGTTTATCAAGTTACACATGAAGTGCTTTGTAATAAGGACCATGGAATCTTCCCTGGTGGTAGTCGGGGCATGTAAAAGGAGATAGCGTGCTCATGTAAATACACAAAGGGGGAGCTAGGCCAACCCAGTCCTGATGAGATGCCCTTTGGAGATGGGCATGACCTAGCTTTCTCAGCAGAGTCACACCAATGCTCTTCATTGCCATGGTCATGATGGTAATGGAGAATATGCTTGCAGGTTAGCCTAATGCCACAGTTCTTTTTAATGCTGTCTGTCTCTGGGACTGGCAAGTCATCTCTTAGATGTACTGGTCACTTGCTGGGTCATGAGCTGGTAAGTTCTTTCACTAGCAAGGGAATACCCTCTTCATGCTCTGGAAGGAGGGGGCTGCTGTGTATCTTTCTATTGATCTTCTGAGAGGAAAGTCCTCACAAAGCACAGCCTAGCAAAAGCTTTGATAGGCCCCGTGCTGGTCCAGTTAGTTATATTCTTAGTTCTGTTGCAGGTGGTCACGGTCAGGGAAGAGTCCAGCCTCAACGCTTAACGCTGGCCATGTTATTCTCTTGTGGTTTGTGAAGGACGTGCATTGAAATTGAGTTTCTGAGCTTGACTGGTTTGACCCTGGATAAGTCAGATACTAGTGGAAAAGGGTTGTCATGCATATTTGGGCTCCAAGGAACTCTGTTAGTTGCACAGAAAACGTTTGAGGTGTGTGCTTTTCCTGGCTGAGTCTAGTTTTGAAGAATAACTGTCCACCTTATAATCAATAGCCAGTTCAGACTGTCTCAAACTAGCCAAAAGAGGTTGTTCTCTGTGGCTTCTGGTCACATTTGTCAATTTGAATTAAAATGCCTGATTCTGCTCAGTGGAATGAACACATCTTGCGTTTTTTTCTCTTCATACCTAAGTTCTTAACAGGCTTCTGTCAATCATAACATTTGCACACCTCCCAGCATGAAGTACAGCAACACAGGGTGTAAGAGCGAGCTATGTTTCTCCCTCTCCTTTGCACTGTAATTGCATCCTGGGAGACGGAGCTCCGCAGAGCCCTGCTCCAGTCTGCATCGGTTTGGTGACTGCCGCTTTTGTAGAACAGCGAGTTGTGAGTCGTGTGCCGTGTTTGAAGGCAGTGAATCCTCTGATCAGTCTTTCACTGTGTCTGGGTGGGAGTCCCTTGTCTTGTAGTAGTTGTTGGGAGAAACTGTTTTGACAAATGTTTTCCCTGAGGTTGACGAGGAAAATCGAATACGAAGCTGAAGAGAGTGAGAGGGTGAAAGCTGAACACGGAGCAAACATTGATAGTCCAGATCTCCCTTCAGGTTTTTGTTTAAAGAAGCTGAGAAAGTGGAAGTCTAGGGCTTCTGACACTAATCAAAGGAGAAGAAAACAGTCCCATCTGAGAAAGCTGATGTGCAGGCAGCGCAGCAGTGAGCTGGATGATGTAATTGAGAAAATATATCACGAGAAAGGGGCACTGCAAGGCGGGCTGATGCTGAAACATACTGTGTCTGGGGAAGCTCAGCTGCTTCTGGTCCAGAAATTGCCTTTGAATGCTTGGTAGTAAGTTGAGAAAGATAGCATCTGATAACGCTTCTTGGGCGCAAACCATAAGGTGGTCTGCAAACCTGCCCTTTAGAAGTGTTGGGGACCTCTGCGTGCGTGCAGTCCGGTGGCAGGATCAGAGGAGCAGCAGGTCCTGCCTCGCCAGGCACTGCTGGCCCTTGCTGTCCCTGACCAGCATCTCTCTGGGGCTGCCTCAGCCCTGGCCATGGCCCAGGACCCCATGTCAGACCCCTGGGGACATCAGCCCCTGCCCCAGTGATGCTGCAGCAGGGCCGGGCTGCAGCTCTCCACAGCCCGGCCAAGCTGGTCCATGTCCTGCCTGGCCTCAGCCCGGCTGTCCTGGGGCTGTGTCTGATCTTGGGTCCCCTTGCTGGGCCTGGTCCTGGCCCCACATGCAGGCTGACCTCCCGCCTGGCCTCAGCCCACCCCGGTGTCCACAGAGGAAACGCAGCCTCCATAGCCTGAGGCGACAGAACTGTGGGGTGGGGAAGACAAGTCGGTGGAGCGAGGGACATTTATCAACTCCAGGAAAGACCTATAGGATACTTCATAACCCTTCCATTGAGGCTTTCATGATGTGCATTTGAGGATGGAGTGATTTTTAGGCTGGCCACCAAAGTGGGTTCTTGCCCCCCAAGACTTACCCTGCCTTTGGGGTCTGAGGTGAATGAACATCACTGCTGTGTCTGTGCCAGACTGAGCAGCGAGACTGTCTTGAAACAGGCTTACTGTTTTATGGTTCGTTGCTTGGGATTTCTATTTGTTTTGGTGTCTTGTGATTAAAAAAATATGTAATAAACTAAATTAAAAATGCATATTCTTTTCTTTAAATGCTGGCATATGTTATTTGAGCTTTACAGTTACAGGTGCTAACTTACTCTTAGTGGCTGAGCCAGGAGGTTTTAGGACGGTGACTACTCTCCAGAAATAGCCATGGAAATGAGAGGCTGCCAGGGGCATTGACAGCGTTAGTCCAGCTTCAACACTGAGTCAAAACCGTGTATAGCTCATGGCTCTTGTACAGCATACATACATTAAGACTCTTGACCTCCAAATGTACAGGAGTTTGCAGGGTACTAATTTGAGGCTGATGGGAAGAGTGTTGCTTGTGGAAAGTTATCTGCTTGCTTTTTGCTCATAGGGAGAAAGGAATGTTGTGAACTTCTAGCTCTTAACACACCAACAAGTGTTTGTTAAAACTTCTAGCGTAGGAGGCTCCGCAGCATTTGTAAGGAGGCTGCTTCAAATACTGGAATATCAAGGGAAAGTTTCTTCCTACTAATACAGTTTTTTTTTGTTGCAAGTAAATTATAAGCAACTTACTACAGTGACCCATTTACACTGCCTTAAACGCTGAATGTGTACACGTGACAAATTTGATGCTGCCTTCTCTTTAGTAAAGCTGTGGTACACTCAGTTTTTCAGGAAT